CTCCAGCAGGCGACAGTCATTCACTGCATAATTCTTCACTATTGACTGTCGAATAGACCCACTGCCTACTCAACAAGCACGTCGTAAGACAACTAATTGGATCCTTCCTTAAATATCGGAGTGCATCTGCCCGAGAGTCAGGGAACCAATAATTTGCATTTAAATAAGCCAGATGTGTAAAACGTATGTGCATGCACACTCAGGTTCTGGAACAAGACTAAAATCTAGGGGTGGGGGTGGTGCACGGTCAGAATTCTCCATCAGAGTTTACAGCCGGTGAACGTGAAGCAGACACATTTTACTGGTTGTGGAGCACATGTTTTAATGACGCCATTATTACATTTCGCAAATTTGTTATACATACACAGTGTTATGGGACTTTACAAACACCCTGTTCTTTGTTATGCAACAAGAGCTCGCGCTCTTTCATGCAACGATAATAAAGAAGCAAGGCTTTAGTTTCACAATGCTGAATATTTTACATATAAATCTAAACAAAGCTTAACAACAGCAACGACATTGCTGATGATGGTGGCGATTATGATGATGGTGTTTATAATGATGATAAAAAGGAGAAGAAGAAGGGGAAAAAGGGGGAAAAAGGAAATGATGGAAAAAGCAAGGAAATTATGAGACTGCTATTCGCCCATCTCTTGATATTTTTCTTCCATTTATTGCCAGGTCTAACCTTGCTCGCTTGAGTTTTTTCGCACAGTTTTTAATAATCTTTTCACTGACGGAAATAATTCATTTGTGGAATCTTAAGAGCAGTTCTAATGAATTGCTGTTGTTCCAGGAGTTACGCAATATTCTTCTCTGTTCTTTTACACATCTTAAAAGGTTCAGTTCAACGTTCTGTGTGTTTTTTTCTTCCAATTCTCTGCACCAGACAGCGGGGTTCAGTATAACAAACATGTGACAATTTTCATGTTTAATGTATTTGTTTCTTTCTTTTCCCTATGTGGGTTCCAGTGTTTAAGGGGGGGGGGGTGTCACTGCCTCCCCAACAAGCATGTCATAAAAGTCTACTAATTGCGGGCTTCCTTCAAAGTCGGACGAGTGCATGTGTCTGAGAGTCAAGGAAACAATAATATGCATACAATTAAGTCAGATCTGTTAAAGGGATGGGCAAGTCCGGAGGTGGAAAAGCAACCAGAAATTTCCACCGGAGTTTCCAGCCAGTGAACGCGTCGCCTTAACCATCCTCATCACCATTATCGTCATAATCATCATGGTCATCATCAGTCAGAAGATCCCTTACAGGATGTCGCTCCTTTCACGGCACGCTTGAAAGATTCTTTATCTAGCCTGTTCTTCGTCTACTTCTTTCGTTCGCTTGAAATAAATTATCTATATTTGCAATGTTGTCTCTAGTATAAACTTCACTGTCTTCTGTAATTCACTCAGCGACCCGTGGGGCTTGACTTGCACCGATGTTTCTTTTGGTCACAAGTTTTGCCTTTACATGTTGTATTTGGGACAGTCTGGGAGAGTCTGGCCAATTATCCAGCCTTATGTGCTTTCAGTACATCTTCATTATTATTTATCCACAATCACAGAGGTCGGCCTCTGTCTCGTTTTCAGAAAACGACACCCTCCATCCCCGTTTTCTCCAGAGCACCATGATGCTTAAACATTCTTAACATATCTCAGCTTTCAGGACATAATGTTGGTTATATTTGTGTCCCATTGTTGATACTATTTCTTTAACCTTTCTGTATGTATGTAAGCTGTACCTTACCAGGACATCACACAGAGCGATTAAAAAAAGAGTGCCACAGTGTGGATGAGGATCACTCGTGGAGAGTTTCCAGAAACCCCTTTAAGGCCTTATGGCCATATTTATGATCCGACTTTATTCAGGGCCCCCGGCAAAAGCCAGGTTGGGGCTTTAAATAACGAAAAAATAATTACATTTCCTTCTTACGTCCTTCTTAGGACGTTATTTTTTGTTATTTGAAGCCCCACTCTGGCTTTTGCCAGGGGCCGCAATATAGGCAGGTCATCATTATGGCCAAATGTCTGAACGCGGTTTCTGGGACCTCTCCACGGTGATCCTCATCCGCATGGTGGCACTTTGTGTCATCGGGTGTTTATCGCTTGTGTGATGTCCTGGTGGGGTAAAAAGCCAATCCAATAACGAAAAATTGCCTTCCACAAGGGGACGTCATTCAGACATTGTTTAAACCGTTCTTATTCTGTTTGAGTTTTTCTTCACTTTTGCCATCATTTCTTATTGCATAGGAAAGGAGAATTTTTTTTTTTTTTTAAATATGTTGACCTTTTCTTTCCATAGCTAATTATCATACATTTTTTTTTTTTTTTTTTTAAATGTAGAAATGATATAAGACCTGGTCTTATTTCCAGCAAAAGCGGTCAATATACAAATGTTGACATGAGGATCCTTTTCAGATGACGCAGTCGTCCATTCCTCTCCGAATATCCCAGTTCTAATCTCGTCATCTCTTTGTGAGATGAAATTTTTCGTTATTTGAAGCCCTATTCTGGCTCTTGCCAGGGGCCGCAATATAGACCGGTTCTGTTTTACCTGCCGTAACCATAGTCGTCCCCTCGTATAATTGCAATTTTTTGTTTGAAGCCCCACTCTGGCTTCTGACGGGGACCCTGAATATAGCCGGGGCATAGATATGGCCTAACGGCTGAAAGAGGTTTCTGGGACCTCTCCACTGGTGATCCTCATCCACATGGTGACACTTTGTTTCACAGGGTGTTTATCGCTTGTGTGATGTTCTAGTGGGGTACAACTAACTATCTACCTATCTCAGTTCATTGTGTATACCCTTACGTCCTTTTTAGGACGTAATTTTTTGTTATTTGAAGCCCCACTCTGGCTTTTGCCAGGGGCCGCAATATAGGCAGGCCATCAATATGGCCAATTGTCTGAACGCGGTTTCTGGGACCTCTCCACGGCGATCCTCATCCACATGGTGGCACTTTGTGTCATCGGGTGTTTATCGCTTGTGTGATGTCCTGGTGGGGTAGAAAGTCAGTCAGTCAGTCAGTTCTTTGTGTCCCAGTTCAATAAAAGTGAAGGTAGTCTCCCCTTCAACAGATATTACCTTGTAGACAAAAGCCCTTTTTTCACTCTAAAAATTTACTGGTATCCATCATAATATATCAGCGACCGGGTTGCCCACTGGCTCGCCGGTAGACGACTTCGTAGCCGGTCGAGACTGTATTTGTTTATGTCTCCTTTGATCGCCATCAACACTGAATGAGTCCTTTTTATGGCCTTTGGTGGCGTGCAAGGCTAAGACTTTTTTATCTGGCGCACGTAAGCTTGTCACAACTGTAACCTCCTCTTTCGGGGTTGCTGGTTGAGCTTAGACGACCCCCCCCCCCCCCCCCAGCAAAATACCTCCCTAATCATCACAAAGTGTCTTTCTCTACTTCTTGGATTTCACCGGCTGTAAACTCCGGCGAAAAGTTATGTTTGTTCGTCCATCTCTGAGCTTTAGTCTTGTTCAAGAACCTGAGTTTTGAGTGCACATCCATTTTACAGGTCTGGTTTCTTGTATGCAGACTATTGGTTTCTTGATTCTCGGGCACATGCTCAATTATTCGACTCTTAGACATGTTTGTTGAATTGGCTGTGGGTCTATTCCTGTTTTCGCATAATCGAACCAAAAAGGGGAACTAAATGAAAAAAAAAAAGGGCCAGTAAAAGGACACTTTTCCACGCCTTCCTGCATTTTGGGCATACAGGTCTGGAACTATATTTTATAGACGAATCGGAAAGTGGGCGATGTGGTCAACCACGGCTGACTCTTTTTTATAGGTCAACTAGGTCAACGGAGATTCCAGTTCTTGTGCAAGTAAGGAGTCCCTCTGTGTTCACAGTTTTTATCGAGGATAAGTATATATAAATTAAACTACAGTTTCATTTATTTGCGACATATTTTATAGAATTATATGTCATTTTGAAGGTAAATAAGTGTGCTATTAAAATATAACAATAAAGGCTCTTACAGACAAACAAAATTTCTTTTGCTACAGCTAACGTGAACATAAACATCAATAACATGTAGATATAAACTGGAAGAAATATTAGTACAAACTCTTTGATTCTGAGAGGGTATTGCATTAGAGGACGGGGGGGGGGGGTGACATTTGTATTTCATCAAATTAAGCACATGGAAATACTGCAGTGAAACATACACATATCACACATAACATAAATATAAATGATTGATGGTTATTATTACTATTAGTAGACTACTACACCATAAAACTATACTGTTATTTAATAAATAATAAACAAGCACAGTCAATATGAAATTGATATGGGCAATAATTTTACACCCAGAGCAGTTTTCTTAGCACTACTAAATATTTATCCTCAAGGTACAAATAGCCAACACAAATTTGTCCAGTTCATCTTATTAGATGAAATCAGTTCCTAATCACTGTGAATTTTTTTGGTAACTCTTTAGAAATACATCACACATATTTCTGAATACTACATGCAACAACGCGTATAAGTATCATGAATGGTCTATTATTTTAAAGGTAGGTGAAGCACATTAAAACAGACCATACAACTGCAAATGCTGTGCGACATACACATATCAAACACAAAAAAATCCCCATATGTGGTGTCGACCTAGCAGCCAAGGTCATTAAAAAAAATGCGGCTCCATCAGGACCCGAACCAAAAACCTTGTATATTACAATAGCTTTGAACATTTTTGGGGGGCCTGAAAAGGGTGCCAGCAATACGTACCGTGTGCTCCTGTGAAGACTGGGCATACCGCCCCCTCAAAAGGATATAGTAAACGGTGACTATTTAGTTTTCTGAAATCAGGTATGTTAGTTGCAATAATACAGAAATCGCAGCCTAGCGGTATACAGCAACACAGTGTACCAACCGCGTTTTAAGGCCAAAGTACTTTAAACTTTTTTGTTTCGCTAACAAGGTTTCCTGTTTTTAATTTGCCCATCCCTCTTCCGGGCGGCATTCAAATTTCCGTGGAGGAAAAATGGACGATAAACAGCCGTCGCTTTTGTTCAAGGAGAAGGAAAGTCTGCTACTTATTGAGTCAGAGCGATTAAAGACGTTTGGGGAATGGCCTAATGAGCTGAGCTGGGCTTGCACTCCCCAGAAGGTAGGCATCTGCTGCGCAGTCTCGGCAGTAAACTGTTTTCAACAGTTTTCTAAGATTTTATTTTTATTGTTTATTTTTTTTTTTTAACTAACCATTCGTCTTTCTTCTTAGTCTGACTCCCAAACTTACTTAACCCTTTTAGCACGGGAAGTTTTTCAGAGGTCTAGCCAAAAACACGGAGCATTTTTTCAGTGAATTTGGTTATTACTTTATTTAATTTTTTTGACAGATTTCTGTTATTCTGACCCCTATGAAATAATGGTACTCCTGTCAAATCCGGACGAAGACTAAAAAGTAAAAAGCCTTGGACGACTTAGTCAGAGTTCTCTCCCTTGGCCGCACTGCAAACAGTGATCGGAAAAGCCAACGAAACAAAGAAGACAGTCACGTCGACATCAGGGCTGCCAATGCTTGGTTGTTTCCCCCAGATCTGGGTTTTTTTTCGACGCTGCAGGACAATTCTGGATTTTTTTAGGTGTGTTGTGTTTGTTGGTTTTTGCCGATTTGTATGCTTTAATGATCGATAAATTTGCGTGATTAGGGGTAGGGGCTAGGGAGTAGGGTTAGCGGTAGGGTTAGGTTTAGCGTTAGATTTGACAATTTTGACGCCGGAGTTCCCTATAATCGCGCACAGTCCCATACACACACAAACAATCGAGGGCCTCTGGATTCTGGTCAAACGCACATTTCGCCAACGATTGGAGGCACCAGCCGCACGCTATTGGCGTCATATTTGGCAGAGTTTCAGTGGCGCCACTCCCACAAACATCAGATTGTCGGCCAGTATTTCGAAATCCTACGTCAAAATTTTCACATCTAACCCTACCCCTAACCCCAACCCTACCCCTAACCCTACCCCTAACCCCAACCCTACCCCTAACCCTACCCCTAACCCCAACCCTACCCCTAACTCTAACCCTACCCCTAACTCTAACCCTACCCCTAACTCAAACCCAAACACTACGCATCCCTGCACGCAACCGTATGATGACTACGCATGCCTTCACGATGCCTCACGCAACCGTACACAGCCCTACACGCAACCGTATGATGATAGGTAAGTGTGTCGTTTGTTTCGTTGGCTTTTCCGATCACTGTTTGCAGTGCGGCCAAGGGAGAGAACTCTAAGTCGTCCAAGGCTTTTTATTCTTCGTCTGGATTTGACAGGAGAGCCGAAATAATATATCTATTTGAAGGATATAGATTGAAGTTCGTGATTTTCACAATATCGTTAAAATTAATTGATGTATATGCAAATTATCTCATTTGCATATCTAAAAATAGAAAATATGAATTTGAATTTTCAACTTCAATGCTTGAAACATAAAACTAAAAACAAAAATTTTTTTTATTTGAAATCTTTTTATTGATCTTTGGCCTTTTTACAAATGTTGTAAGCAATTCAAAAGTCAAAAACAGGTATATATATGTGAAACAGCAATAATATCTTTAGGTGACATGTGTTTTTCACCATCAGTCAGCACTAGAAATGGATGTGCCGGAGTGTCAACACCTTCGGGTGGATATACCCTGAGCCATGGTTTGGTTGTGGTCTGAACACAACAGCGTCCCCATCTGATTACTACTATTACTACTAACACTAAATCCTGCATCAGTATCAACAGAATTAGTGTCATCACATGATTCAAATGTTTTATCAACATCAAGTTTAGGGGCAGAAACATACGAGTCAGACATACTTTTAGCGGTTCAGGTCACTATCTAAAAAATTCAACAACAATTTTCACTTCGATACCAAACACTCGAAAGTCGCCATGTGTAAAGCTGATACCGCAGTTAATATAAATGAATCACTTTCAGTGTTTCAAAGTAGGAGATTTCTTAGCGGTTCGAGGCGAAACACGATCGGGCCGATCATCGGCCGTTCCGTGTTTTTGGCCAGACATCCGCCGGCCGATAATCGGCCCGTCCGTGCTAAGAGGGTTAACCAGTCCACCTCTTTTCATTGAAAAAATTGCCCATATACGTTTAGTCCTTTAACAAGATGCAGAAGGTTCTCCCCAGCAAAAAAAAAAAAAAAATGCAAGTGCGGTTAGTGCAAAAAAAGTACAAATGCTATGTAGTTAGTTAAGTTAGCACCTATGACGTATGTCATAATAATTATAATTAAATAATAATATATATGCCTGTGAAACATGGACAATAGGCAGACAAGCTGAAAAACATTTGCTCGTAGCAGAGATGTGCTCTTTAAGAAGAATGCAAAGTATATCATAACGGAAGGATAGAAAAACAAATGATGAAGTCCTCATCGAGACAGTTAAAAGTTGTAAACGAAACTTATTAGAGTAAATTTACTTATATTAGAACTATTACTGTTATTTTGTTTTTATATTTATTTATACTTTTATAAGGCCCTTTTAAAGCCATTGGCTTGAAAGGAATGACCTCAGTTGATCATAGACCCTGTTAGATGGTGAAATGTTATATACAGTGGATATTGAAATGGATTCCAGGCCTTACCTGGTTTTGTTTCCATTCCACAACAGGTCTGTGCTTTATGGGGCCCAATTGTGGGGAAGACAAGGATAGACCCACTGCCTCCCTAACAAGAAGTCATAGAAGTTGACAAATTGGGGCCTTTAAGTGTATCTGCCCGAGTAGCAAAGAACAACCAACTGCACACAAATAAGCCAGTAAAATGGATGTACACGCAAAACTCAGGCCCTGGCACAAAACCAAAGTCCAGATAGATGAACAACTTTCCGCCGGAGCTTACAGCCTGTGAACAAAGAAAAAGAAGACCTACAGAGTGCCAGCCAGTTGGTCTATACAAATATAGGTCTAGCACTATATGCCTGATGCACTTCTGGAGTAAAAGGGTGTTTTTACTTACTTGACTGACTATTTCAGCTGGCACATGCAGGTTTCTACTTCAGTCCTGGACCAGAGTCACTGGACAATGTCTGCTGCCTGTTCTGTCAGAAAGAACTGGATGGCTGGGAGCCTGATGATGATCCACTGTAAGTTGCTCATGTTATGAGGTCATTTGTGTGTGGGGGGGGGGGGGTAGGGGGGTAACTCTTCCTCTCACAGAAAGGTATTGTTCTGACCCATTTTCTTCTACAGAGTTGTTACTTTTGCTTATACGTGTGAGTCTGAAATGGTTAACCCACTGACTACAATCCCCTGCTTGTTAACTCTTGGTAAATGGGGGAGAGGGGGGGGAGGGGGGTAACTCTTCCTCTCACAGAAAGGTTTTGATTTGACACATTTTCTTCTACAGAGTTGTTACTTTTGCTTATACGTGTAAGTCTGAAATGGTTAACCCACTGACTACAATTCCATGCTTGTTAACTCTTGCACTGTCCCGTACACCACATATTTTTTGTGCATTATGAAATGTCATAGCTTCACAACTATATGAAAGATGTGCACAGATGTCAACCAAATTACATCAGTGAATAAAGCAAAAATATGTACAACAAAAACATATGCAGTCACATTGACAGGTTATATAAACAATGAAAGAAACAAGTGCAAAAAAAAATTACAGGAATAGGGAGTGTTCAAAAATGAAAAATGCCCAAACAAAATCTTGTTTAGTTTGCTGTGTCCATGTTGTAAGAAAGAATGCTGAACATTTTCTTTTTTTTTTAAAAATAATTCTGGGCTGGTCCAATTTAAATGGTCAGAATAAATTATCTGACCTCTGGTAGAGATGGAAGTTAGACCACCAGTCTTTGCAGGCAGTCATACTAATTGTTATGCCACCATAGCTCCCATTCAGTACATGACAAGGCAGATGTGGTCAAGGCCCTTTGGGAACAAGCAATGGAATCAGTAGAGAAACAAGATAATAGCCTGGAGAGAATGAGGCACCTGGGTGTAACCAGAGGGTCTGGCCGGCTCACTACATTCAGAGGAAAGGCAAGACAGACATAAAACCAGATTGTGACCAGTACCATCGGTATTGGAACTCTGCGCTGGCCGCTGAAGATGAGGACGGAGCACTCATGGGAATGCCCTAAGTGCTGTGATGTCGATTCTTGACTCAGCTCCCATTCATTGATTGTGTTTGGTGTAGAGTAAAGGACCTGCTGACTGAGATGACGGTGATGATGAGAGAAAGATAATTTCTACAGTACAGCTGACATTGATCTCCAGGCCACTTCCTAGGCCCTGCATGCCGCCAGTAAAATAGCCCTGACATAGACAATGTCATACTTAGAGTCAGGAAAGGTCTATCAGAACTCAGGGCAGCCAGTATTGAACAACACCTATTTTTCTTTCTCAGTCAGTGGCTTGTGTTAAGTGTAATAGACTATGGGTTGGAACTACAGCAGAACCTAGAGTCAGTGGCTTGTGTTAAGTGTCATAGACTATGGGTTGGAACTACAGCAGAACCTAGAGTCAGTGGCTTGTGTTAAGTGTCATAGACTATGGGTTGGGCCTTCAGCAGAACCTGTAACGTAAAGTACTGTTTTCAACTGCCATATAGGGCATACGATTTTAGACCTGTATTTTTGTAGACAAACTGGCACCTGATGAGTTATTTCTCCTCATCATGCTGACCGCTTTAACTTCCCTGGTTATTTCCTGGTACCCATTTTTGGCTGGATTGACCTTGCCTCCAAGCTAAAAAAAATGCAGTGGTGCTGGTTTGAACGCAGTCTATAGCCTGGTGAGCAGGCAGCTTGTCTGAACCCTATCTCCTCCTGTCTTTTATGTTTTCTCAGATTCTTTGGGAGGTTAATAATGTGTTCTGTAAGTCTGTAGTCAAATCCCATCCACTGTTACCAGATGTCTATCATTTATTCCACAGAAAGGAGCACAAAAAGCACTCAGCAACATGTCCTTTCTTGTCCCTGAAAAAGCCTGTGGAGAAACTCACATTAGTAGAGTTTGTGAGGCTGAACATGAAAATTGCCAGTTTGAAAACTGTAAGTGAACCTGGTGTTTTGTATGTGTTGATGTCTGAAGCCAGTGATTCTCACTCTTCGTCATTTTGTTGTGCCATTTTATTTTACATAGGGCTCATAGTCTTTTTCTTCGTTCTCTTCTGTCTTGTGCAGTACTTTCGATATAGTGGATGGAATAAAGTCCAACAGCTTAGGTCTCATTTTCTCAATTAGCTTCCCATTTCCATGCCCTTTTTTTGGATTTTCTGCTCACTTATTTTCAGCATGTTCCCAGTGTGTTATCTTTTTATTTTTTATTTAAAACTGTTGATACCATTCATTGTCCAAGCAGTTCTCTTATTTCTTCACCTTTCTTCGATTCATTCCATTTAAGGTTCACTTTCCTGAGGCATTTATTTTCATTTGCATTTGGCTTTCATCAGCAATAATTCTCCATGAGGGAAGAATGTTCTTTTTCTTCTTTTGTTTGCTTGAAATAATTATCTATATGTGCAATGCTGTCTCTAGTATAAACCGCAGTCTTTTGTAATTCACTTAGCAGCCCATAAAGCTTGGCTTCCATCAGTCTCTCTCTTGGCCAGAAGTTTTGTCTTTAAGTGTATCTGGAACAGTCTTGTAGGATGTGATCTGTTGTCTGAGATCTGGTCCCTGTTCGAAGGAGTAGGGGAGAATATGAATCACATATTAACCTTTTACACAAATCATGTCGTTCTGGCTGCTAGTCCATCAAATATAAGTTTAGTTGTCTCTGTTGTCATTGTAGTAAATCAAAGTAATGTTTCCCCCGTTGTAAATTTGAACAAAGAAGACAAACAATAGATTGCACAATTTATTGCCCAGCATATTTCGCTGTATCTCGTCACACGTGGACACGTGGTAACTAAGGACTACACATTCTTTATACGTCAACCAGTTGCAGAACTCTAAGATTTCTTGAAGCTTCCACGATTTGTCACCTGCACCCTGAACTGTGTACACAGAAAGATATGGTTCTGAGATTGAGACTGGCCTGGTAGAACAGGCAGTAACGTTTGATCATTGTTGAATTAGTACTTCAGTTATTAGGGATTCGCTTATCTGCTTCATTTATGTAATTGTTACTGTAGTAGGCATCTGATGAGATTAGTCGAATTATACCAGGCAATAAATTGTACAATCTATTGTTTTTGTCTTCTTTGTTCACATTATAGTAAATGTTTTTTTTTTTAATTATTGTTTAAAATGTAGTTGGCTAATTAGTCAGCATATCATCCTCAATAATTGTAGAACCATTCCTTCAGTTAGTGGATTCCCCTTCTTCAGTTTATCCCCCAGTGTCAAAAACTGACAACACAAGTTCTCTGGTAGCTTACTATTCTTCTTTGGTTCCCTACACAGCGCTGTTGTCTCTCTTCACCTTTTTTGACTTTCAACTCTTGTTGTCAAATAAGTCGATTATGCCCACACGCTTTATTTAAGTTTTTCAGTTTCATGTTCTCTCTCTTCCTCTGCCTCACTCCTAGTGTTTCCCCGTCCTTAAATGTTATTGTTTGTGTGTGCATGGCATACTTAACTATTTTACAAACTAAATGTTTCCTGGAGTGCAGCTCTCCTATACCAGTATTTTTTGTCCTCTGTGTGTAAATTTTTAAAAATATTTTTGTAATTTTGTGTTACTGTATCATATTTTCCATCAGTTAGTTTGTTTACATTTGAGAAAATGATTTGACATGTTTGATTATTCCTTCTTTACCATATGTAAAGCAAATTAGACTTTTGTTCTGCCTTTACCCTATGTAAAGCAAATTTGACTTGTGTTCTGCCTTTACCATATGTGAAGCAAATTGGACTTTTAGTTTTCTTGGACTCAGCCATGCATTCGCTTTTGCTAATGTTACTAATGATCATCCTTTCTGTAAATCTCAGAAGAGTGTTATCATAGAGAAAGACTTGTGTACTTTTGAAAACCCCTTGAACGGTTTTGGTGAATTTAACTATGAACCCTTGATCAATGTATATTAACAGTCATCACTTAATTCACGTATCCTCCTACTTCTCTGAGTGCATAGTTTTCAAAATATGCATTTGTTTAAAGTGACTAGTTAAAAAATACATTTCATGTCTTTGCATTTGTATACATTTAGTCTAAAAAAAAATTAATTATTCTAATCATTAGTGCTCATTTAGTCTAAATGATGAATTATTCTTGACTTAATGTACATTCAGACTAAACATTAAACTGTTCTTAGCCTTAGTGTCATTTAGTCTAGGCATTGTAGTGTTTCTTAGGGTTAAGTATATATTTTGTCTTTAAAAACAAAATAATTGGTTATTATCATTAGTATTCATTTAGTCCAAACAATAAATGAATCTTGGCGTTTGTATATGTTTAAACTAAAAAGTTATGTTTTTAGGGTTAATATACATTTAGTGTAAAAAGTGAATTGTTTCCTTGTTGGATTTCACAGATAAAGATACTTGACAAGACAAGAAAGGAATTTGAAGAACAGAGCAATACAACCAGGGAAGAAATTATTGAACATATTAATCAAAAGTGATGGATCAAAGCTTACATTTTCTGTAAATAGTCTCATTATGATCTTCAGATTCATTTACTGTAAATAGTTCCACATTAGGGTGATCTCTGCACATATATACTGCTTTCCATTAATATTAATTTAAGTAAGTTGATCCATTTTACCAGTAGCTTGAAATGTATATATATTCATACCTTTGTTTTGCTCATTTGAAAATTTTTAATTGTGTGCATAGTCCACAGTGCTGGCTGATATTAGTTTGTGGATTCGTCCATAGGTTGTACTTTAGCGCAACTCTTTGGTTCCTTAAAAATCTTTTTAAAAAACCTTTTCTTAGATTTGTTATAGTTCTCAGAAACCACAGGAAGACAAAAAGAAGAAGACAATTCATTGGTTATTGTAATAAAAATTCAGGTGGTGACAGTGCAGACAGGCACATGTGATGGCCTCTGCGACAGTGTATTTTGCACACACAATTTTTTTTAAATCACAGTTATGCGCAAAGATATTTTTTAAAATTAAGGGCAGCAGTTGCTAAAAACATACGTGAGTAAAGAATTAGCAGCTTTACTTCCCCTTGACCATGAAAATAGTGTTTTTATAGACAGTTGTGTGAGGCACACTGATGCTACGATGACAACAGTACTTTTTTATTATTATTATTTGTGTGCCTCCCCAAATAATATCAGACATGAAAAGGGGTGGGGGGGGGGGCGTGAATATAATCACACACACCCTGCTGTCTACACTCTATGCAAATGTAACCAGTACTAAAGCTGTTATACTGGCATAGTGGTGACTGCTAAAGACATGCAAAAACCTGTCAACACCACAAAACCGGCTCACTTTAGGGTGACAGGGTTAAGGGACAGCATCTCATCGACATCAAAACTTCAAGGACTTATGTTAAAAAACTTTTCATATTGGTAACCCGCCTGTTAGGCATACATTTGCAGATTATTATGTTCACGCAACACACCTACTTTCACACTGCAGCTCAAGCACTGTGTGTCATATACTGTTTGGAAAGCTCTGCTTTAAAACATATAAATAAGAAAAAAGACATTTGACAGAATGTCATTATCTGACTCAAATGGTACAAGGTTGTCATCTAGTCGCAGGAATATTTTTACAACATAATTAGAAATTTGGTTACAAGGGCTTCTTGGGTGAGGATAAAAACAATTTATAAGGTCCTTTGTGCACATGGAATGTGTGTCCCATTAACAGATTGGGAAAATTAGCCAGGTTATCAGATGCCTGAAGTTGGATGCATTAACCAAAACTTGCACAGTGGCATGTGAAAAATTGTTGTTTTTAAAGGATTTCTTTCAGTAATTCCCATGAGTTTTTCAAGTTTTGCTGGGGTAAAAGGGTTCACCTTCATGTATACTACGTCTCAGCTGCCTTATAATGTACATTGATTTCATGTTATGTTAAGATTACGTTATGTTAAGATTATTCTGTGCCTTTTAATCCCTTGGTGCCTTAGTTTGGTCCGTTATAATATTTAGACATGGTAGATGAATCTCAGATTATACATTGAGAAATGTAAGGTGTCTATAAAGTGCCTTCTATATGTACATTAATGTCATCTGAATACTTTATGTAAACATTAGCAAGCTATTGTGGAATAAAACTGCACTATATATACCAAGCTTGCTGTATAGTTAGAAGTCAAAATTCTTGTTTAATTGCCGCTATGGCATGTTCAAGGTGTGGTTAAAAAGTGAAAAAAAATCATTTGGTCTTTTTCACGCCATTGGTACATCTGGCATATTGTGAGACCTCCATGTTTTTAGATTGATCAGAACTCAGTTTGTTAATATGGTGAATTTACTTCCCATGATGTTGTCTTGTACCAGTTTGAGTCGGAGTTGACCTGGGAACAAGGGTCAATTATGTAACAAATATATCAGACTTTATGGGAGTCCAAACTCATAGCCTTCCGTTTGGCAGGCAAGAATTTGCCTGTGTGTTTGGCTCATATTATTAGCTAATAGCATCTAGGAGACAAACATGGTTAGCATTTATTCTGGCTAAGTCAACTTTAGAGCAGAGCTATTAAACTGGTGGTCGGTGGGCCTGATTTGACAGGCAGAGGCCTAGCAAATGGTCTGCAAATCATTGCCAGTTGTACTGTATTAATGATCTTCTAAATCTGGGGCTAGGGCCTCTGGCCCGTGATGACCCCCTCATATTCCAAAGTGTGGACCCTCAGTAACCGTAGTTGAATAGCCTTGCATTAGAGAAATGAAGATGTCTTGAAAGAAACTGACTTACAAAGAGCACTGATCATCCAAATTAGAAAAAGACAATCTACATTCTTTAATCATGTCATGAGAAGGAGAGAACTGAAGTACAGCGTGGTGGTGGAAGAAAGAACTGGAGGGGAAAAGAGATTGAGAGTGAAGATGCTGGGCAGTTTGGCATGAAAGATCACCGTTGTCTGAACAGATTGAAAGTATGTGAGATAGAAGGTTGAAGATAGACATGACTACCAACACCACACAGCCTGGACTATAAGAAGCAGCTTAATTTTCCAAGATCCATCTCTTGTACCCATTTATGAAGTCGGAATGTCTGCACCACCAAAAATTGTGGCCAGGGAGAAAAAAAAGGGGGGTACTGTGTCAAAACTGGGAGTGGGACCCTGGTTTATATTGCTAAGCCATTGTTTTAAATGTGGCATTACTATGGGAGCATTCTGCTTATGAGTAGGGATAAGTAATAAACATGAAGCAATGAAGTTGATTGATTTTTAAAAAGGTTTCACGTGCATTTCCAAAGCTGGTGTGGTTCACCAGGGTCTGGGGAAAGGAAGTCACACTTCGGATTGCACCCTGGGTTATATTGCTAAACCAATGTTTCAACTGTTGTGACTGCATTCTGTGTATAATCCGGTAATAAACATAACATTTAAAAATTTGACTTTTAAAAGTAATGAGTGTTTATTTTGTACATTTGATCAGGTGTTATACTACTTTTTGTTGTTGTCTTTTTTGTAATGTACGGAGTAGTATGTTATAATTCCCAGAGTACAAACATATTTTGGATTGTTTCAAGTATTAATTGAAATCTGTTCTAATATTGGCCCTGATTGGTGCATCTTGAAGGAGGGTTGAGAGTATATTGCGCCTGAAAATTTATGGCAGCTTTTGCAGTCACCACAAATTGTGCAGGTTATGATTTTAATGTTTTTCCTAAAACAGTTAATTTCTGTCTGTGGTGATGCTATAAATAAGGATAACATCAGGGTATGATTGAGTGACAACTGGAGAAATCCCTAGTGTGAGAAGCAGGGGTTTTGAGGCGAGATGGTGAAAAGATAGAACGGAGCAAAAGATGTGTGGCATGAGAATCTGCACAATCAGCACGAAGTATGCTGATATTCAAGGTGAGGTACTTGTATCCCCATGTACCTCACAGCAGAAGGCTTAACTTTTCCTCACACCTGTAATGTCAAACACTGCACCCCACCAGTTACTAACAATGGTTGGTCTTACTTGATGTGTCTGAAACTTTAACTTCATCACCAACCTGTAACCACAGCCATGACCAAGTCATTCCAAGTCCCTCGTTTCTCTTTATTCTCATTGATACACACAATCATCATGTAGTATCTTCCTGGCAGCACATGGTCTCTACAACACTGTCCACGTTTTGTGCTGTGGCAAGCAGGGACCAAGCCGAGACTTTAGTCATGACTTCTATTCCACTGTGATAATCACTGGAAATATGCCAAGGTAGCAAGTCTTTTACAGAATGTCGCAGACATTACATCTAGGGCTGTACCGAATAGTGATTTTCACTATTTGGCCGAATACGAATAACGGGACCAACTATTCGGCCTAATACGAATAGTGTATAGTCTTAAAAATATATCTTAAAAAAAAAACATTCATAATGTCAAATTTAGCTGAACTGTTACTTCACATAAAATAGCACAGAATAGTCATCTTCTTCTTTAGCATTCTGAGCCCTTGAGGTTTACTGCTGCAGATATCACTCGTCTCCATTCATCTCTCTGGTTGGCCTTCTCTTCACAATTTGTGACACCAGTTGTTTGCAGGGCTGACTGGACATTATCTCCTAAACTTCTTTTTTGTCTGCCTTGTGGTCTACGCCCATTCATCTCTCATGTGTATACAGTTTTTACTTATCTGTCATCTGACATGCTTTCAATATGCCCCAACCATTTTAGTCTGTTAGCTCTCATGATGCCAGTGATCAATGGTGTTTTAACAGATTATGTGTTACATTGTTGCTTCTCACTCTCCATTCCCTGCTGTTAGCATCTTTGATGGGTCCAAAGATTTGTCGTAAGACTGTTTTCGAAAACATATAATAAGGCCTCATCTTTTTTATTTCTGCTTCAAGGTTCAGAGCCATATAAAACGACTGGTCTTATCAACGTTTTATATATTTTGATCTTGGTGTTGCGAGACAGCGCTTTTACTTTAGCAGATGTTGAAGGGCATAGTATACTTTATTTCTAGATTGTATTTCTTCTTTCAGCATGTTGGAGCAGTTGAAGTTTGTACCCAAGTACTTATGTTTCCGTTCGTTTGATTTTCATATTATCGACTTGTCTGTGGCCGGAATTTATCTTCTTTCCATGTCTAGTTAGTATTCGTACAGAATAGTAGACATTTAAAAACATTTTATGTTTTGCATCCTTCAGTCAGTCTGTGGTAACTAATAACTAGAAATGAAAGAATAACAAGTAACTAAACTTGGAAATTGTCGCTGACAGCTTAGTTAATGCATGAAAGCTGCATTAGCTTTCAACAAAACCAATTGTTCCATGTTGTCAGTATTAAGGCCGTGTATGCAGAAGCGGGTGCAAGGTAACTACTATTCGTATTCGGCCCGACTGCAACTATTTGGCCGAATACCGAATAGTCAATAGGTGCACTATTCGGCCCCGAAGCGAATATTCAGTACAGCCCAAAGGATGTGATGAAATGCCCTCATTTGAGGACTTACTGATAAGCTCTATATAGTCAAGAAGCTCGTTGTCTATTGTTCTTTTTGAATATACTCAGGTTTACTTAACTCTTTCGCATAGGTTCCTGTCTAGAAGTCCAGCGAATGCAAGATGTGCCGACTTTACATCTGTCTTTAATACCCCATGGGACTGAACAAGTTAACGTGTACAAAAAAGCGGGAAAGCCCCTTAAAAAAAAAGGAAACAAATAAGAGCCTTTAATACTTTTGTTACAAAATGTCCTTTATTGAATATGTTACAAAACAGAGAGTATAAACTTTTGTCTATCTTGATATGCATATAACACACGGAATGGTTGTGTTGGTTGATCAAAAGTTACACCAAGTAGATCTTGGTCAGTTTCATGGTGTTGACTTTTAGACTTTTACAAAATAATGAACTAGCAAGGTATGAGAACCCTCAGAAAGGAAATTTCCAGCAATGCAGGTGTTACATACGCTTGCACACTTGAAGAGCTGATCTGTATTCATTATTCTTTTGTGCCATTAATATTTCATTATAGCTCGCAGTCTGTTCCTCCATTCTAGTCTGTGGATGTGTCCAACATATCGCCATCTTCTCTGTTTTTATATCTATTGTTACTAGTGGTTGCCCAGACATGTCCCTTATCTCTTTACCCCTTTCAAATACATCCTGTTTTTGAACGCATTTAACTTTAATTCCTAATTACATGTCTTTAGTGGTTCTCTAATTTCACTTGCATGTTAAAACTGAAACAACATTAGAACAGAAAATATGTAACTTGGTTTTAAAACCAGACAATTTGGGTGTTCCATATTTTGTTCAAGCTATTAAATGCTGTCAGTGTTCTGTATACATGCAGCAGTAAAGAACCCTTCGCACACCAGTAGCGCATCAGGCACACAATGCTAAACCTGTATTTAGGCAGACCAATCAGCGCCCAATGGGTGATGTAGTTCATATCATGCCAGCCACCTTTACTTCCCTGAACATTACTTTGTAGCCATTTTAGGCTGGGCCAACCTGGCAGAAAGGCCACTTTTGGAGAGACAAATTCATCTTAGCATAGATTCGAACCCAGAACTATTCAGGTGAGTGTCTAGCCACTATGCCACTGAGGCTCCAGCTGGGCATACAGTGCAAGGCAGGACGTTGCAGAAGCAACCCCAACAGCCCCTAGGCAAATTTACGTCCAGTAGTTTCCAATTGCTTTCTAGATACCACTGTCGACACCAACGCAAGGCACATGGTCCGCAGCTGGGATTGAACCCGGCATTACGAAGCGTTCGCATCGACTCAGCCACAGAGCCGACATGGTGCAAAACTCATCTATTTTAACGGACCAATCAACTCTTGATGGGGTCAACATCATGTTGGGTTGTGGTAACAACAAAAATCAGGCACAGCAAGAAATGGAATGTATGTGTAAATATTTACAAATTATGGAAAGTTTACAAGCAACTTCAACATATACAAATGGTTTTAAATGTTTCACCAATGCTAACAATCTCAACTGATATGCATGTATAGCTTTTTCAAATCAGCTGTAAAATGTTGCTGGATAAAATGTATGTCAAGGAATGTATCAGCAAATGTTAACTCCTTAAGGAGGCACAGTGCATATTTTCTAGTACAGGCTTTGTCTGCCTTTCTTCTTCTGTTTTTATGAACAATTTAAGTTTAAACTTTTGATAATTGCATTAGCTAATGATATACATAGATATTAAAAAGTAAAACCAGATGAAAAATTAAACAGATTATGCCACAACTAACAGCTTCCATTACCAACCCCTAAATACAAGCCGCCTGCTATTATGAAAAAAGTAAAGTACCCGTTTCCACACCATTAGGCGCATAGGGCTAGACCTATATTATTTTAGACTAACTAATCGGCACAAGTCGGGTGATGTGGTCAGCATCACGCCTGCCGCCTTTACTCCCTGGGACTGCATCCGGTACCCACTCAAGGCTGGGTCGACCAGGAAGCGAACCCACGACTTTTCTATCTGCTGCGAGCACCTAGCTGCTCGGCTACTCCCCTGCTTTTATCAGTTAAGCACAAAATGCTGTTTTTTGACAGCCTAGTGCCCTGTGATAAATGGTTTCTCCGGTAAAGAATAATTTACATTAATTCCTTCCTATGGTTAAACAAACAAAAAATTATTTTATCTCTTACAGAAGAATATTAAATTATGCTCGAAACATATGCAGAAGAAAACCAAGATCATTTTTGGATGATAATTCTATTAAGTCCTTTAAATATCTGGGCAAACATTTACCAAAGATGGCAAGCGGGATAAAGAAATTAATGTGTTCTAATTGCTAGCCATCCCCCCCCCCCCCCCCCCCCAAAAAAAAAACCCACAAAAATACTATTGTAGCCCCAGGTGCAAAGGAACTGCCAACTGATTGTTTGAATGGTCTTTATGTGTGCGGCCTGAACAAATTCACTCTTTAAATAACAAAGAATTTCAATGAGAACATTATTTTCCTTTCAGTTACTATGCATTTTTAAATTATTTTTTTTTCAACAGTATATGAAAGTTAACACACACGTTTCAGTGCCTATGTCTGATCTGGTGTAGTCAAATATTTTACCTCATTAAATCAACTCATTTAGTTTTCTCTGATAAGAAAAATATCAAATAACTTGTACCAACATGAAAATCATAGCACCCTAAATTAAAATTTAATCAACCAAGCAAAAATACAGATTTCTAATTTGCAACATGAACTTTGATGTAAATTTAGAAGACTGCACTTTATTGCTGAAGAATTATACAGCATAAAGACTTATTAACAGTAAGCTTCTTCAGTGTACAGAAATATCTAACCACTTGTAACAGACAGCACATAGCAGCCCTTGTGGCATGTACTGTTTGCCTAAAGGCTCCTGGGATATGTTGATAATGCGATACAGCAGCTTAGATGTCAGACTCCTCTCTGGACCTGTCCGTAATAAGTTTCACCTCCTGGCGTCTGCAAATTTAAAAAAAAGTTGGCATTATATTAAAACAAAAAAGTTAATTATGCAAGAGCTTCTGAGTGTGGAAGAGTATAAACTCAGACAACTTCTACAACTGGCTGCATTAATCATGCAACTATTGAGATTTTTCTGTCTTTATGGAGATTACATTTCGTTTTAAATCTTATTCTTAGTCGAGGTTTCAACCTCACTGTAATGGGGTCACCCCATACTTGCTCCGTTCCTATGCCATTGAAAATCAAATGAAATATGCTTCACTATACCATTTAGAAAACTGGTATACTAATAATAAGTCCAGAAACAATCCAGAAATATATGCACACGGCAGTTGCCTGAGGCACCAAAGCCAACAATCGCTACAAGAAATGCAGTTTATTATTGATGAAAGAAAGTACTCAGCCTAAATCAAATGGCTATACATAGGTAAAATTATTATATTGATCAGCCTTCTTATTTCCAGACACTTCACAATGTGACGGTATCCACTGCATTACCACTCTTCGCTGACAGCTAAGTTGTGTCAGCAGTGTTTGCAATGCTGGTAGTTTCCACGATCAGTAGCTGCACATGCAATTAATTACATAAGGTACCACCAATTCTCCAGCAACAGGCCGCTCGCCATTTTCTGAATCCGCAGTCCATAACACATACCTAGTGCAAATCCAAAAGCAATCCAAACGCAGCTCACGGTGTTGCACCAATGTACTCCACCAAGTAGGCTGGCGATGGAACTAAAACCTTCAGTCTACACATAAAGAAACAAAATCTTGCCACAGCTGAAACAGTAATCTGTCTATCTGCCATATTGCCGAGAAGGCTCCAAAAGTGTACCTACAAACATATCACTGTCTGCCTCAGACTAATGCTTCTTTTTCCTGTTATTCACTGATGGGACGTGCCATCACCCCCCCCCAACCCAATTCACAAAAAGATAAGATGCCCTTTCCTTTTCAACATTTTCTCTCTATATTTTTCCTTTACTTCTTTTGGGAGTGCCATGGTGTAGCGGTCAGATGCTAGCGATGCCTAACTTTTATCCCCCGTTATAGGAAGTAAAGGTGGCTGGCGTGATGCTGACTGGTCTATAAAATATAGGTCTAGCCCTATATGCCTAAAAGCGCGGTGAAGGGTCCTTTATTTCTTTATTCCATTGTAAGTACATTCTAATTACACTATATCCAAGTCTTCTCTTTAGGCAAGCACGTGTTGCACAAAACACTATCCCTGCAGCTCCTGTGATGATCCCTGTAAAAATTCCACCCATGAATCAAATGGCATAACTAAGACTACTTACTCTCTTTCTGGCAGTCTTTCTACAGCATCAAATCTGGGAACTCCTCTTGGCCTGTGACCTCCTTCTTCATCAATGATCATTCTTCCAGCTCCACCTGGTGGGGGAGGACCTCGGTGGCCATTAGGTGGTGACCTGCGTCTGTCATCTGGTCTGGTATCCAACAGAAACAAAGTGTAGTAATAAATGTAAACATGTTACATTTATCTGATGCTTGGCATGTAATTGATAAAGATTGCTTTTCGTATTACTGACCACATACTATATAGATTGTTATTGAAACCAGTGAAAGCTGTGACAATCATGTTAACAAGCCTGCATTATGTAACCAAAAAGATCATGTGGTAAATTCAAAAGTAGTCACATGAGTATCTTGAACTTCTGGCAATGCGATTATGTATCAACATAGGGCAATATGATTTGTGTGTGTCAGTGGAGAGATTTCAGTTAGTGTGCTTCATTATGTGGGGACGTAACCGTGAAGAGATATAACAAAATATATAAAGCAATACACTGTGTAATGAATGCATTTTCTAAACTGGCAACAGAATCAGTAGAGAAAGAATATTATGGCCTGAAGAGAATGAGGCACCTGTGTGTAACCAGAGGGTCTGACCGGCTCACTACACTCACAGGAAAGGCAAAACAGACATAAAACCAGATTATGACCGGTACCATCAGTTTTGGAACACTGCGGTGGCTGCTGAAGATGAGGACGGATCTTGCATGGGAATGCCCCAAGTGCCGTGATGTCAATTCTTGACTCAACTCAACTATCTAAACATGTTGTAAACATTTTACTGTCTAAGGTAAAGGCAAATCCCACAGCACTTACTTCAGTTGGAGAATTGCCTTTACACATTCTAGGTTTTGGTGCAAAGATAAAAAATAACATTTTTCTGGTTGTTTGTCCACTTCTGGACTCTTAGTCTTGTTCCAGAACCTGAATTTTGCATGCATATCCATTTTTCAGATCTAGCTTATCTCTAGGCAGACTTCTTCTTTTCGCTCGTAACTGTGCATTACCTGTTTACAACAAAGCTGCAATATTTGCATCTTTTGGCTGACACCCATAATTGCTGTTTCTATGCCAGAGAAAATCAGGAAATGTCCCTCACTGTTCTATCTAACATCTGGTGAAGAAACAATCTGGCAAAATCTAGAAACATGCACATGCAGCACGTCACTGACAGAAGTAGTTACTTGTGACAAGTTGGCTGTAAATATGCAGTATTAATGCGATTGGTCACTAACAACACAAGACTGACATGGTTGTGAATATCAGCATTAGAGAGAAAGTTGGAATAAGATCTCATGCCTGGGTTATATTGATAGACAAAGATTAAAATGGTTCGGTCATCTAGTGAGAATGCAGCCAGACCAAACTGCATGAGACTTTTTACAGCAGAGCATCTGGGAGGAAGGTGAGAGAAAGACCAAGAAAGAGAAGGATAAATGGTGTAGCTGAAACCTGCAAAAAGATGAAACAATCTATCGCCCAGACCACCCGAGAAGCGCAAGACTAATACAGATAACCATGACACAGGGCTACAACCTGGTATCCGTGAGATGACAAAAGAAAGAAGGAATTTTAAGCATTCTTCTGCAAAACTACATCTCCCCAGGCAGGTAGGTGCTTTGCTGAAAAAAATCACCATGTTTAACCAGCATCCCTAAAGGGGCAGCCGCAGGTTATCTGCGCCATATTTAATCGCTTAGCGCTGCACGCCAGCAAGAGCCCTGAAAAAGACTTCTGCAATGTTGATATGATCACAGGAGACAGACCGGCATACTGTCCACACCATCAAAACAATTCATCTACTGGCAACCAGATCACCAACGTATCTACACAGGCATTATGTATATTAAATATATATGGCTTCCACTGTAACTGCTTCTGCAATATGATCTCTTTCTGGTTTCATGTTGACCTTGGCTCCGTTGTCTTGTCTGTTGGGTTTGCATTTAGTACTCCGTTAATAAAAACTGTGGTCGGAATTCTCAGCTGTGTTTAGTCACATCTTTTCCTAAGAGCTATTTTAGTCCCAGTGATCTGTGTGTGTATCTGTCCCAGTGATCTGTGTGTGTATCTGTCCCAGTGATCTGTGTGTGTATCTGTCCCAGTGATCTGTGTGTGTATCTGTCCCAGTGATCTGTGTGTGTATCTGTCCCAGTGATCTGTGTGTGTATCTGTCCCAGTGATCTGTGTGTGTATCTGTCCCAGTGATCTGTGTGTGTATCTGTCCCAGTGATCTGTGTGTGTATCTGTCCCAGTGATCTGTGTGTGTATCTGTCCCAGTGATCTGTGTGTGTATCTGTCCCAGTGATCTGTGTGTGTATCTGTCCCAGTGATCTGTGTGTGTATCTGTCCCAGTGATCTGTGTGTGTATCTGTCCCAGTGATCTGTGTGTGTATCTGTCCCAGTGATCTGTGTGTGTATCTGTCCCAGTGATCTGTGTGTGTATCTGTCCCAGTGATCTGTGTGTGCATCTGGTACTTTTAAATTCAGTAGTTTACCGTTGATGTTTGAAAATTTCTATCTCAAAGCAAGTGTCTGAATCAATGCAGAGCAGTCTATTGCAAAAGTGTCTAAAATGTGCAGATGAATCAAAAGTGGTATGTTGGACATATGAAACTCAAGATAGTAATGATTCATATGAAAACGATTACCTGTCATCTGGTCTATGGCTTATGTCATAATTAGGTGGTGGCCCACGGGGTCTGTCAGAATAATCAACATCCCGTCTGTCTCCAGGAGGCGGACCTCTTCGACCTTCAGGTGGGGGACCCCTCCTGCCTTCCGGGGGTGGACCTCTTCTTCCTTCAGGAGGTGGACCTCTCTGGCCCTCAGGAGGTGGACCCCTCCTGCCTTCAGGAGGTGGACCCCTTCTGCCCTCAGGAGGCGGACCTCTCCTTCCTTCAGGAGGTGGACCTCTCTGGCCATCTGGGGGTCGCCTGCCTTGCCTGTTGGGGTCATGGGGTTGCCTGTCATAGCCATGGTTGTCTCTTCCATCCCGAGGCTGATTTTGTCTTGAACGACGGGCATCCTTGCTCGACTGAAAAACATATTCAAAACACAATGAAAAATTATATCAGATCCTTTTTTATTTTGAAGCTGGTAAACAAAAACGTTTTAAAAACAAAAGCAACAAAAAGCAGTTGTCCTATAAAACATAACATCTAGATACATAGGTAACTCAGAAATTGGGATAGATACTTAGTCTCTAGCCAGCTCTCCCGCACTCATATCCTGTGCCAACACTTGTGCTGGTCAGCCCCAACCATTATCTAGTACTACGCCCTTTACTACTGTTCTTTTTTATGCTTCTTTGGCTTCAGGAATTTGATCACTTTTCATTCACAAGTTTGTTGGGCTGGTTGACTTTCCTGAAGGTTACACGTATGTCCTGCTCTATTGTTTGCATTCTGTGTTATCTTGCATTTATGTTTTCATTCCGATAGAGAATGCCTAGTTTCTCCATGTTTTTGAAGTGTTAAAAGCGCTGGCATTTTGAAATATACAACATGCGATATCAACAGCATTGCGGAACACCCCTGTAACCTGGTACCAAGATGACAGGTTCAGGAACTATCAATAAGAAGTGAGCTAGTGTGTATATGGGCGGCGCGTGGGAAGATTAACGTTATGTGTACCAAAAAGTCTTCTCCACCTGGTGGTCTGCTGAAAAAATGTAAGGTTTCTATGATATCAAATGCTGGGCTAGATTCCATCCGATACTGAATTGATTGCAGAAGATAGAATGGAATGGAGGAATAGACTGCGAGCCCTATGTGACATATAACTGCACAGAATCATAATAAATTCATTCTGTCTTCTGTGATGATAATAGGTTCTTCAGAATGACTAAGAGCATGGGGGGGGGGGGGGCTGTCAGATCTTAAAAAATAAGGAGGGGTTCGCGGGTTATAAAGTATAGCAGCTAAAGGTTACCTGTGAGTACGCCTCTGATCTCGGTTTCACATTTTTATGTGGTGTAGTTCCTGATTTCAGCTCATGCCTGGAGACAGAGAAATTCAGATAATTAAACTCTCACTCAAAGGCTTAAGTAAATCTAATTCAAAGTCTTTTTTAATGTCCTGCCAGCCAGCCAGGCAACTGAAGGTCTAGTGCTAAAATCTGCACCAGGTTGATTTGGTTTTTAAAAAAAAAACTTTCGATCCTTGAGTCTGGGCAGAACTCCCTTAAAGTACAGCTAATGAGAATTATCCTAGAAGGTAAACTGGAAAGTTTGACATTTATTTTCCTGATGAGCACTGGCAAAAAGAGCCCTTTACTTGTTTCCCTGTGATGAAAAAGTAAAGATGGCACCATACTGGACACCTTCTGAGAATAGATGAACAGTGAATTACCAAACCGACACTGAAATGGGAAACAGGTGGACTGAGGAAATAAGGACGCCCAAGAGGAACTTTAAAAGGAATGTTGACAAGAGGCCAAAGGTGCTGGACTTCATTCTGTCCATGATATTGAGGTAATTGCACAGGATTTGATGGAATGGAGACTGAGAACCATGTGTGACATACAAATGGCACAAGAGGACAATGAATGAAACGAGCATATCATGCTAGTTCTATATATTTACAGACCAGACTGAAAGAACTCCATGGCTGATATGGTCAAAATAAGGAAATGTGGAGGAAAACAACAACAGACCCACTGCCTCACCAACAAGCATGTCATACAAGCATGTCATAAAAGTCAACTAACTGTCTATTTCAGGCTTCAGAGACATAGGAACAGTAGTTCAAATAATACAAATCTGCCTTGACATGTGTTCAAAACTAAAAACTTTGGGCTTGGCAAGCAAATGTCTAGCCACTGCTATATGGCAGTTCTAACCTTCTTGGTGCTATACTAATTAACACATTAAGAAAGTCTAGTGTGAAGATTTATCACCATACATACTATATAAACAATAGTTATAAATTTTAAAGATACCCAGTATCTTTATTCAAATTTTTTTGAAATTATTAGTTCCCTATTCACAACTTTAGGATTTTATATGAAACTATTATGAGTCCAAAACAAAACATAATGCATTACATTTGTATTCGTTAATTATATAATTAATTACTATTTAAAAATGTGTTTTAGACATTATAATTATTCTAATTTTGTAACGGCAGTACCGTATATGTGTTGGATTTCTCAGTCTCTTTAGATTCACTTAAAAAATGCTTTTCCTATGTAAGTAGTAAGTAAATTACTCTTTCCACACATGTAACATATTATGCTAGACCCATATTTTACAGACCAACCGACACTCGATGGATGATGTGATGGTCAACATCATGCCGGCCGCCTTTATTTCCCAAACCATACGTGGTATCCATTTAAGGCTGGTTTGACCTGAAAGTCAGGGTGAAGCTTTTTTCATCTGTCTACATGCTGGTTTGGACCCTCAGGTGAATGTCTAGCCATTAGGTTACCACTATTCTTCTTTTGTCAAAATCTGCTTGTGCCGCTAGGCGTCGCAGTCTATCAGATGATCCGCAACCAAGCCAGGGCGCGCTCAATCGCTTCATACGCCGTGATGTTATGAAGTCTCAAGTTGCCCGTGACTCCTTCAATCCATCTTCTTCTTGGTGTTTCGATTTTCATGTTGTATGCTCTTGATGCTGGCATCGTTGGTTCCATTCTCATTAGGTGACCAAACCATTTCATTCTTTGCTTCTCAATAAATTTAACGATGGGTATGGTTCCAATAGTTCTTGTAATCACATCGTTTCTCACTCAATCTCTTCTGGTTTTATTCGCAGCCATTCTCAAACATCTCATTTCACAGGTGGTTAGTCTTCTCTCGTGTTCTTTTGTTAATGTCCAAGTCTGACATTGATAACCTAATGTGGGTATAAAGATTGTATTTATAATTTGTCTTTTTATCTCAGCTGGGACAGCAGGGTGTTTTAAAATTGGGGCAAGCTGGTATGCGACATTGGTTACCACTATTAATGTATGTAAATTCTAAAACATAATGGCGGGTGGCGCTTCTTTATAAAACTTCTAGTGGCCAGTGTGTTGGAAAATGAGCAGGCAGATAGACTGATCAGCTCTGCACCACTTGATGGTGAACTAATGTATGACAAGCTAGATGTTGTGAGGGCCCTTTGGGAGCCAGTGAATACTGAGGAGGCACAAAAAAGATCATTACGGTTTGAGAAGAATGGTGCTGCGAGGAGTTACCAGGGGATCTGGCAGACGCTCAACACTCAAGAGAAGCGCGAGATAGATATACAATCAGACAGTTACTGGCACCATCGGAACTGGAACTCTTCACTTGCTGCTGAAAATGGGGATGGAGTGTTTATGAGAGTGTCCCGGGTGATGTGATGTTGATTCTTAATTCAACATGTACTTCTAGTGTAAAGCATTTGTCCCTGTACTTAAGTATCTAACTTTGCCTTCTGCAGTTTATCTTCTTAACTCTGATCAGAGTCTACTATTGCCGCATACTTACTTCAATTCTTCTTCAAGAGCCAGTTCACTCTTATGGATACAAGACACGCCCCAGTCACCGATCGGTTGGAACTGAAAATAACAATAGACAGCTGCATGTGACTGACAAATTAGAAAATAAACATCACTCAGCTGCTGTTTCCACAATAAGCATTGGCTGTGACATATCTCTAGAATGTCTCAATATCCCATCCCAGTTGTACATTCTATGAGACTGGTTCACCCGTCTCTTAATTTTATCCTCACATTCGTACTGCTGTCTATTTTTTTTGCTAGAGCATAATTAACTCTCCACCCAATACTGCATTTTGTCTGTGAAACATTCATTTGTTGCTGCTTTTATTTATTTCAGCAAATTTATTTTCTAAATCTTTTCAGAATCTCTTATCTGATTGTTTTTTCCCCAAGAAATACAACATTTTCTTCTATATAACCATGTATCCAGAGACCCATTTTTGACTTGACACACATCATCATTGCCCCGCTGGTGGTCACGATTTGCCATCTCATCTAATCACCAGCATCTGTTCTGCCCCATCAATTTTGCCAAGCAATCCAGGCATTCATCTCCTTGCCTTCGCCATAGACCTTATCAGTTTTCACCAAGTTCTTAACCCATTCCTGCTTTTTTTTCTTCTTCTGCCTGCCTAACCACCAATAGAGCTCAGACCCTCAAGCAACTCACGCCATGACGTTCTATCCTTCGCTACAGCAGGCAGCTCTCTCCATCTTCTTTTTTTTTCTTACTTCACTCTATAACTTCCTTCTCCATGTTTTTTGGTCTTCCTTTATTTCTATAGGTTCCAGTTATATTGTTCTCAGGTGTTCTCAATGTGTGTCCTATCTAATGCCAACATCTTTTTTTTTTCACCTCTTGGTCCAGTGGAGTGTTCAGTTCATGGTTTTAATGTCTCCAAGAGGTGTGCCTACTTTGTTTTTCTATCACTCCTAGGATAATCTTTGTCATCATCATCATCAAGTGCCTTGTTGACTGGCACTGACAATCATGTCTCTCCACAATCTGCAACTGTGTGTTTCAGTTCTGTGTATCAGTTCGTGTGTTGACACCCCTTCAAGCTATGACTGAAGGCTGTCAAGATTCTTCTCACGCTGTCTTTCAAGGCCTCTCTTTTCAGCGGCCATAAAATGTTCCATTTACCCTCCTTTCATAACATTATTTAAAAAATTATGATTGTCTCTTTCTGATGTTAATGACAAGTTGTCTTTGAGCACTCGCCTATTTCAAAACATCTGGGTTGCTCTTCTTTACTTTCCAAAGAATTCTAAGGATTCTTCTGGAAAATAATAATTGTATGCTTGTGAAAAAAAACAAAAAAACATTTTCACTGCAAGCAGGTATTTTTCTGCCTGTCTGCTTATTGTCTACATCTCACAGGCAAATAAAAACAATACAGATTAACACAAATACATTCTTTGTTAAGAGAAATCTAGGTTGACTAATATAGATAGTACCATTCATCCCCAACTTCATATGTTATGGTATCACAATTAACATCACTGTACACTAGGCATTCCTATGCCTGCTCAGTCCTCTGATGCAGCAGCCACACAATGGTACCAATTGTTCCTATGAGGAGTTGGCTTTAATATCTCCTATCTCAGCCACAAAGGCAGTACAGAAGGATTTGGTTATAATGTCTCCCATCTCAGCCTCAAAGGCAGTACAGAAGGATTTGGTTATAATGTCTCCCATCTCAGCCACAAAGGCAGTACAGAAGGATTTGGTTATAATGTCTCCCATCTCAGCCACAAAGGCAGTACAGAAGGATTTGGTTATAATGTCTCCCATCTCAGCCACAAAGGCAGTACAGAAGAATTTGGGTTATAATGTCTCCCATCTCAGCCACAAAGGCAGTACAGAAGGATTTGGTTATAATGTCTCCCATCTCAGCCACAAAGGCAGTACAGATGCACTTCACCATGCTTTACTCCTGGTCACACAATCGTACTAGTGTCAGAGACTCATCACTACAATTTTATATTTTTATTACTGCCCAAAATTTCACTTATATCTTTTAATACCAGTCTAAAACACAGCCTATTTCTTCCAAATCCAAATCCAGACAGATTTTTAAAACTGATCCAGGCACCCAGTTTGCTCTAGCCTAAAACAGGTTGCCAGACGTGTTCTTGACAGTTATGGCAGCCAGTGAGATGTTGATCATATTGTCTGTTTCTTTAAACAAAGGCAAAGACTGTGAAAAAGACAATGTTAAATAAACTAACATTTGACTGTGAGTGATACTACTTTGCTGAGAAAGCAAGAGAGAGATAAAATGCACTCACATACAACTGTGAAAGATACAATTCAAAGAGCAAGAGAGACAGACCGACAATCAAACAAAGTGACAAACATAAAATGAACTTATATACAACTGTGAGCGACAATTGTTACTTCAAAGAACAAGAGAGGGAGATCAATAGTCAGCCAGACAAACACACAGAGAGACATACAATGCACTTACATACAACTGTGAGTGATTCTTGTTACATCAAAGAACAAGTTAGACATACCAACAGACAGCGAGACAACCAAACACACGGACAGACAAGACAACCAGAAAATTAAACAGAGACAGACCAACAGACAATCAAAGAAATAGAGAGAAAAACATAAAATGCACTTACATACAGCTGTGAGCGATACTTATTACTCCTTCGCTTGGCTAACACCAGGAGGTAGGACGCTCCAGCGAAGCACAGCAAGAACAGAATAAAAAAGAAAGGTCCCAGAAACTGGGCTCCCCAGTCCCAGAGATAGACATGACGCATACGCAAGGAAACCAGCAGAACTCCCACCAAGAAACAGCAGAAGCCACAGGCAAACATGAAGATGGCTGATCGAAATGGCAGCTTCCCTGGGCCCAGACCTGTCTGTATTTGAGAAAGAAAAAAAAAGACAAATTTAATGAGATTCATTAATATTTTTTTAACAAATAGAACTATACACAATCTGTCTCTATCTACATGTTCAGTCTTATTCACATTCACCAACTGTAAACACTAAAAAGTTCTAGTTTTTCATCCACTCCTAGACTGTCTTGTGCCAGAACCTGTGTTCAGTTGTGCATGATCTGGCTTCTACAGATCTGGGTTATTTGTATGCAGACTGCTGGTTCCTCACCTCCCAGGCAGATGGTACTGAGAGATGACCGTTCGTTGAGAAGCAATGGCAAACTACTGAACGTAAAATATGCCTAAATAAACCACAACAGCCCAAAAATGCTGAGGTTGGTTCAGTACCGTTCAGCATCAGCAACGTCCTGCACAGTAGGATACGGTTATCACAAAGTGCCTTACAGTAACGCTGAAAAAAAAAATGTTGCGTGAAAAAAAAGGTGTTGGTTCTGGTACTGCGAACAAGAAGAAATCCTTGTGGGTATAAATATAAGTTGTAATTAAGTATTCCTATACTTATTTTAGTATATATACAGTTACTTACAGAATTGAGGTCACTCCGGATGCCTTGTTGCACCCAGTCCTGGTAAGTTTCAATGGTCGCCTTATCTAACTCCTTTTCTTTCATCTTGGTAGGTCCTTGCTAGATCACTCGAAAGAAATATATCTGTACTTGTTCACTCGTCTGACTTCTTTACTTCATCGCCAATACTTCTCAATACACCACCTCGTTCCTGTACTTTAAGTTGTTGAAACTCAAACACACGCAGAGCGTTGCATTTCCTGGTTCCGGTTTCTCTACCTGTGCTTTTACGCATGTGCTTTGTTAACTTCCGTTCTAAATTTACCTGGGACAGGTAACCTATCTTCTTCAAACAATTCACAAATTTCACATCTCTAGTGTCCCGCCCTCACAGAGCTGCTACCATCCGTTTGTGCCCGTCTAATTAGTATGTACTGTATTTTGTTCGCAATGCTGCTTTAAGTAATTTTGTCTTGGCTCCCCGGTCAGCCCAGTCTAAAATGGGTGCCACGTAAAGTACTGGGAAGTAAAGGCGGCTGGCGTGATGTTGACCACATCACCCATGTGGTTTAGCCGAAAATGCCCGATGAGCCCCTGACGAGTAAAGGGATCTTACCATTCTAAGCGATGTTGGACATTCTCATTTGTGTACTGTACTGATAAAGGTATTCTAGCCGCAACGTCCACGTGTCGTTTGTGTTTTTGATAAGCTGGTCGGTTCTACTGTTCAATTGGTTTGATATCATTTCAAGATACCTTGATAAAGATAAATAATTGTTTGGAATTTTTTAAAGATGAATCAGTTTAATTTGGGGCTGACTGAGGATTTGCTCGTGTTGGATTCCGTCCAAATAGTGCCTCTTGAGTGACCAGGTGACCGACCACCTTTGAGGCTGCAACTAAAGAAAAGACAGATTTAAAAGAAAAACAAATTGGAAACCAACACTTTAATTGTAAGCGGATATGTTAAGAAGTGCTGCGGTCTCCGCTCAACGATCACATACAGAAAACTCGGAACAGAAGTCTGTATCGCCAGTGATAATTCATACATGTGTGTAAACAAATCACTCATGCGCCTCCATCTCTCTCTCCCCCTCTCTATCTGTTCACACACACACACACACACACACACACATATATATATATATATATATATATATATATATATATATATATATATATGTGTGTGTGTGTGTGTATTCTCCCCCCCCCCCCCCCCCCAAAAAAAAAGGAACGCATAGCTACTGAAAAGAACATATATACTGACAATTTAGACATTCTGTATCTATGTAATGCAATAAGTGAAATTACTCACATTTTACACACACAAAACTGCGATCAGATGACTTATGTGGGCCTGTGGGATGGCTGCCCACTCTTCCTGTATTGCCTAAAACAGATCACGACCATTGGCTGGAGCAACGTCTCGGCGACAAACACGTCTTTACAGCTGATCCCACAGTCGCTCAATCGGACTCATGTCTGCAAACAGGGATGGCCAGGGAAGGTTTTGAATGTTATGGCAGCCAAAAACTGTGCGGTTAACCGTGCAGAATGGGGTCTGGCGTTGTTCTGTTAAAAAAAAGATATCTGTTGGCATCCCAAAATGGAAGGACACTGTTGTAATCTTATTTGGCCGAGAGTTGAAGTTTCTTCTAGTGGGAACAGCACAAGTGAAGGTTCACACAGCGGCCACGAGTCGTTACCTGATCGATGGTAATTATATGACCTAATTGAATTCTGGGCTTAGAAGACTAAGGCTCAGATAGTTGAGATATTTTCATTGTCCAAGTCGGACGTGGTTTCCGCGGGGTTAGCGGAAACTTTGTGTTGGCGCTCTGTATGAGGATTTTATAGAAACGTTTTTTCTGTGTGAGGTTTTGATTTTCCGTCACATGTCAATTACGCACTTCCGGCGACTTAATCTGCGAACTTCAGGCGACTACTGCCACCGCCAAGAGTATCCCTAACGCCGCTCACGCGGCGTGGATTGGGGCTAAACTGGACGGCTGGAACTCACGAGCAGCAGCTTCAGCATCTCTTGCAGCTTTGCTCGTGAGTCCCAGCCATCCACATCTGGAATGCAGTCCTGTTCCAGAACATGTTGCGTGTGCATCTTTTTTACAGATCTGACATTTGTATGCAGACTGCTGGTTCTTCTCAGGCAGATGCACTCTGACTTTGAAGGAAGCTCCCAGCTAGTCGACTCTTACGACATGCTTGTTGGGGAGGCAATGGGTCTATTCTTGTTTTTTCTATAACAGGGCCCCAGAACCAACACAGGGAAGAGGCCACATTTTAAGAGAGAAAATGCGAGGCCAAGAGAGCACGATGTAGACAGCGATACAAGTGGGAGTACAACATCAAAGAGAGAGAGAGAGAGAGAGAGAGAGAGAGAGAGAGAGAGAGAGAGAGAGAGAGAGAGTCTGTGAAAAAAAAGTTCGAAGATCCATGGCTAAACTTCAGTGTGGAAACATCACCTGACAGAATGGATTAAGGGAGGGAACAACAAATTTATTATGAAGCACTGAACAAAAATATCGTTCTCCCTTGTGTCAAAAAACTAATATTCTGGTTTAAACAACTGTCAGCAAGTACGCGTGGC